GATTTATCGATTTACTGATTTACTGAGTTACTGATTTATCGATTTATGACTGATTGACTGACTGATTTTAACTAATGCCTTTTAAATGATTCTTTACGCAAATTTTTATGAGTATTGATTTATTGATTTATTGATTTATTGATTTATTGATTTATTGATTTATTGATTTATCGATTTATCGATTTATCGATTTATCGATTTATCGATTTATGGATTTATGGATTTATGGATTTATTGATTTATTGATTTATTGATTTATTGATTTATTGATTTATTGATTTATTGATTTATTGATTTATTGATTTATTGATTTATTGATTTATTGATTTATTGGTTTATTGGTTTATTGATTTATCGATTTGTCGATTTATGACTGATTGACTGACTGATTTTAACTAATGTCTTTTAAATGATTCTTTACGCAAATTTTTATGTGTATTGATTTATTGATTTATCGATTGATTGATTTATTGATTTATTGATTTATTGATTTATTGATTTATTGATTTATTGATTTATTGATTTATTGATTTATTGATTTATTGATTTATTGACTTATTGATTTATTGATTTATTGATTTATTGATTTATTGATTTATTGATTTATTGATTTATTGATTTATTGATTTATTGATTTATTGATTTATTGATTTATTGATTTATTGATTTATTGATTTATTGATTTATTGATTTATTGATTTATTGATTTATTGATTTATTGATTTATTGATTTATTGATTTATTGGTTTATTGGTTTATTGATTTATCGATTTGTCGATTTATGACTGATTGACTGACTGATTTTAACTAATGTCTTTTAAATGATTCTTTACGCAAATTCTTTATGTGTATTGATTTATTGATTTATCGATTGATTGATTTATTGATTTATTGATTTATTGATTTATTGATTTATTGATTTATTGATTTATTGATTTGTTGATTTATTGATTTATTGATTTATTGATTTATTGATTTATTGATTTATTGATTTATTGATTTATTGATTTATTGATTTATTGATTTATTGATTTATTGATTTATTGATTTATTGATTTATTGATTTATTGATTTATTGATTTATTGATTTATTGATTTATTGATTTATTGATTTATTAATTTATTGATTTATTGATTTATTGATTCGTCGATTTATGACTGTTTGACTGACTGATTTTAACTAATGTCTTTTAAATGATTCTTTACGCAAATTCTTATGTGTATTGATTTATTGATTTATTGATGTATTGATGTATTGATGTATTGATTTATTGATTTATCGATTTATCGATTTATCGATTTATCGATTTATTGATTTATTGATTTATTGATTTATTGATTTATTGATTTATTGATTTATTGATTTATTGATTTATTGATTTATTGATTTATTGATTTATTGATTTATTGATTTATTGATTTATTGATTTATTGATTTATTGATTTATTGATTTTATTGATTTTATTGATTTATTGATTTATTGATTTATTGATTTATTGATTTATTGATTTAGATTTATTGATTTATTGATTTATTGATTTATTGATTTATTGATTTATTGATTTATTGATTTATTGATTTATTGATTTATTGATTTATTGATTTATCGATTTGTCGATTTATGACTGATTGACTGACTGATTTTAACTAATGTCTTTTAAATGATTCTTTACGCAAATTTTTATGTGTATTGATTTATCGATTTATTGATTTATTGATTTATTGATTTATATAATTTATTGATTTATTGATTTATTGATTTATTGATTTATTGATTTATTGATTTATTGATTTATTGATTTATTGATTTATTGATTTATTGATTTACTGATTTACTGATTTACTTAATTAACGATTTATCGATTTATTGATTTATTGATTTACTGAGTTACTGATTTATCGATTTATGACTGATTGACTGACTGATTTTAACTAATGTCTTTTAAATGATTCTTTACGCAAATTTTTATGTGATTTATTGATTTATCGATTTGTCGATTTATGACTGATTGACTGACTGATTTTAACTAATGTCTTTTAAATGATTCTTTACGCAAATTTTTATGTGTATTGATTTATTGATTTATCGATTTATTGATTTATTGATTTATTGATTTATTGATTTATATGATTTATTGATTTATTGATTTATTGATTTACTGATTTACTGAATTAACGATTTATCGATTTATCGATTTATTGATTTATTGATTTACTGAGTTACTGATTTATCGATTAATGACTGATTGACTGACTGATTTTAACTAATGTCTTTTAAATGATTCTTTACGCAAATTTTTATGAGTATTGATTTATTGATTTATTGATTTATTGATTTATTGATTTATCGATTTATCGATTTATCGATTTATTGATTTATTGATTTATTGATTTATTGATTTATTGATTTATTGATTTATTGATTTATTGATTTATTGATTTATTGATTTATTGATTTATTGATTTATTGATTTATTGATTTATCGATTTATCGATTTATCGATTTGTCGATTTATGACTGTTTGACTGACTGATTTTAACTAATGTCTCTTAAATGATTCTATACGCAAATTTTTATTCCATGTTTATTGATTTATTGATTTATAGATTTATTGATTTATTGATTTATTGATTTATTGATTTATTGATTTATTGATTTATTGATTTATTGATTTATTGATTTATTGATTTATTGATTTATTGATTTATTGATTTATTGATTTATTGATTTATTGATTTATTGATTTATTGATTTATTGATTTATTGATTTATTGATTTATTGATTTATTGATTTATTGATTTATTGATTTATCGATTTATCGATTTATCGATTTATCGATTTACTGAGTTACTGATTTATCGATTTATGACTGATTGACTGACTGATTTTAACTAATGCCTTTTAAATGATTCTTTACGCAAATTTTTATGAGTATTGATTTATTGATTTATTGATTTATCGATTTATCGATTTATCGATTTATCGATTTATGGATTTATTGATTTATTGATTTATTGATTTATTGATTTATTGATTTATTGATTTATTGATTTATTGATTTATTGATTTATTGATTTATTGATTTATTGATTTATTGATTTATTGATTTATTGATTTATTGATTTATTGATTTATTGATTTATTGATTTATTGATTTATTGATTTATTGATTTATTGATTTATTGATTTATTGATTTATTGATTTATTGATTTATTGATTTATTGATTTATTGATTTATTGATTTATTGGTTTATTGGTTTATTGATTTATCGATTTGTCGATTTATGACTGATTGACTGACTGATTTTAACTAATGTCTTTTAAATGATTCTTTACGCAAATTTTTATGTGTATTGATTTATTGATTTATTGATTTATTGATTTATTGATTTATTGATTTATTGATTTATTGATTTATTGATTTATTGATTTATTGATTTATTGATTTATTGATTTATTGATTTATTGATTTATTGATTTATTGATTTATTGATTTATTGATTTATTGATTTATTGATTTATTGATTTATTGATTTATTGATTTATTGATTTATCGATTTATCGATTTACTGATTTACTGAGTTACTGATTTATCGATTTATGACTGATTGACTGACTGATTTTAACTAATGCCTTTTAAATGATTCTTTACGCAAATTTTTATGAGTATTGATTTATTGATTTATTGATTTATTGATTTATTGATTTATTGATTTATTGATTTATCGATTTATCGATTTATGGATTTATGGATTTATGGATTTATGGATTTATTGATTTATTGATTTATTGATTTATTGATTTATTGATTTATTGATTTATTGATTTATTGATTTATTGATTTATTGATTTATTGATTTATTGATTTATTGATTTATTGATTTATTGATTTATTGATTTATTGATTTATTGATTTATTGATTTATTGGTTTATTGGTTTATTGATTTATCGATTTGTCGATTTATGACTGATTGACTGACTGATTTTAACTAATGTCTTTTAAATGATTCTTTACGCAAATTTTTATGTGTATTGATTTATTGATTTATCGATTGATTGATTTATTGATTTATTGATTTATTGATTTATTGATTTATTGATTTATTGATTTATTGATTTGTTGATTTATTGATTTATTGATTTATTGATTTATTGATTTATTGATTTATTGATTTATTGATTTATTGATTTATTGATTTATTGATTTATTGATTTATTGATTTATTGATTTATTGATTTATTGATTTATTGATTTATTGATTTATTGATTTATTGATTTATTGATTTATTGATTTATTGATTTATTGATTTATTAATTTATTGATTTATTGATTTATTGATTCGTCGATTTATGACTGTTTGACTGACTGATTTTAACTAATGTCTTTTAAATGATTCTTTACGCAAATTCTTATGTGTATTGATTTATTGATGTATTGATGTATTGATGTATTGATTTATTGATTTATTGATTTATTGATTTATTGATTTATTGATTTATTGATTTATCGATTTATCGATTTATCGATTTATCGATTTATTGATTTATTGATTTATCGATTTATCGATTTATTGATTTATTGATTTTCACTAAAATTTATCCGTTGCCATGTTGATTTGTCAAAAAATACGTTTTGATTGGTTAAAAATTACAGGTGTGGAATTTTCGCTAGAACGTTCCGGATTATAGGCTATATGAAAAATATGAAAAAAGTCCAACAATGTCACCATCTTTTAGGCCTCATGAGTCCAGCGGCGGTCGAGAAACTGTGCAAACCTGTAAACTCCCCTTTCAACTCATATGAACCAATCAAATCAATAATTAGCTTTCCAACACTTTTTTCCAAGAGACCCCTCTAATTTGATTGGCCCAATATTCCACTAGTAGAATAATGCTATTTTACCACACTAGTGGATAAAATATCACTTTAGACGCTACATACGAGCAGAAAAACTTCCATTATTGTATGTTTATGGATAAAAATATATTTTTAGGTCCAATAAATATAAGTACAAAGGCAAAACTAGTTGCTCCAGGAGTCGTGGCACCGGGTATGCTGTCGATAACATCGGCTGAGCTCTACTTTGAAGTGGACGAGGAGGATGAAGAATTCAAGAAAGTTGATAACGAGGTAAGTTATATATTTATTTTTCTCTTATATTAAAGCTCAGTTCAGTTATTATGTTAATATTTCTAATGATTTTTCTTAATATATATATATATATATATATATATATATATATATATATATATATATATATATATATATATATATATATATATATATATATAGTTATATATATATATATATATATATATATATATATATATATATATATATATATATATATATATATATATATATATATATATATATATATATATATATATATATATATATACATACATATATGCTGCTGCTGCTGCTGCATATATATATATATATATATATATATATATATATATATATATATATATATATATAATAAATAGTATTTTCTTGCCTTTAGCTGTGTATTTTTTCTAATTTCGAAAAATCGAAAGTAAAGAAAAAATTTAAAAAAATTAAAAGTAAAAAGAAAATTGTTTTGCTTGTCGTAAAGGGGGGAGTTTTACAGAGTATCCCCGAAAAAAGTTACACATCAAAGTTTTGTTTTTTGTAATGAAACACTCTATACAGGGTGCTACAAATTCGAGGTACGAGCATTGGTATCTCGGAAACCGTAATAGATGCGAAAATGGTTAAATTGGGGTAAAGTTGCGCCTTCGGATGTTCACCAAGATACCATCAAAAAAGTTTTAAAAATTTCTGTAAAAGGATTGCTGATTCCGATTTTTTTGAAAATAAATTTTATTTTTTTCTGTCGTTATTTTTAGAAATTAAAAAAACTAATTGCACATTCTCATAGCCACTTTGTTAGGGCTATCTGGCAATATTATTCAATTTTTAAATTAGCTGATAATTTGTGTGATACAGAGGTCAACTTAATTTTTTTAAATACGGACCTGCATTTTTTATTTTAGGTTTTGAAAGAACTCGGTCTCCCGAGTACAATGGTATGTCACACTTTATACTTTTTTTGTATTGGGTGCCTTAACAACAACATAATTATTATTTAAAATAATTTCAAGTCCGACTCTGGTTTTTTAAATCATTTAATCAGATTATAGTCATCGCAACAATATTGATCAGCGCTAGTTAACATTGAATAAGAAAAATCGAGCCAATTGAAAGATTCAAATAAATAATATTCAGGTCAGCAATTTAAATATATTATTTTTAATTTTTTTTATTGTGAATTTCGAATCTCGAATCGTGTACGATCTGAATGTGTGTAATACGCACAGTTATTACATTAATCGTAGTTATTATAAATAAATCAACTTCTACAAACTAGTTTCTAATGTTCTACAGGTTCGAGGGTTACCACCCTCCCTATTGCACAAATTTATTTTTCGTTCAATTTTATTTATAGCTCTTTGAACAAATCTTATATTTCCGAATGCATTTTTTACTCTTTATTATAAATGTTGAGATGTATAATTTTCACTTTTACAAATGACGTCAAGCCATTTCCAATTCATCTTCCGGGGGAATTATTTGACTTTTTATATTTGTATCATTTTATTGCATTTGATTTTCTGTATTCAATGTTTTACTCCACGTCATTGTTAAGTTTGAAAGCTAATCAATATTGTAACGATGAATAGATTAATTATTTAAAAAAAAGAGCCTGTCCGAAACAAAAAAAAATATTAAGTATGGCATACCATTGTCATCATCAGGAGAGCGAGTTCTTTCAAAACCTGAAATAAAAAATGCAGGTCCGTATTTAAACAAATTAAGTTGGTCTCTGTATCTCGCAAATTATCAGCTAATTTGAAAATCTAAAAATACTATATCAGACAGCCTTAATAAAGTGGCTATGAGAATGTGCAATTAGTTTTCTGATTTTCTAAAAAGTAACGATTGGAAAAAATAAAATTGATTTTCAAAAAAATCCGTTTTTTTTCCAAAAAACTCAGCAATCCTTGAAATCTTTAAAACTGTTTTGATGGCATCGTGATGAACATCCCAAAGCGCAACTTTGCCCCATACCGAGATACCAATGCTCGTCCCTCGAATTTGTGACACCCTGTATATTAATTGATTTTCGGATTCTAGGAGAAAAATATAAAGGTGAGTTTTATTAAATAAGTATATGACTCTTTGAATAAGAAGACTAAGGAAGGAGCATATCAAAAATCTTAGGTGCACCGCGATGGGCCTCAAATATGGCCGACTTAAATTCCGGTTTATCAGTGTCGTTCTAATTTTATTTAAAAAATGTAAAACTATGATGTAGGGTAGACATGGGGTAGACTCAATAATTTGTTGTTTTATTTTACGTTGTGAATAAATGTTGGTGGTTATTAAAATTGTTATAAAAATATATAATTCTAATAAAAATAGATAAGTTATAATAAGTATTTATTAACACAAACATCCGATACGCTACTGAAGCAGGTAAGTCAAATTAACGTATCTAAATTCTTTGACATCTAATCTTTGACAAGTAATAAATAAAAGCTAAAATGCAAGAAAAATATATAATTTAGTTAATTTAAGTGAATTTCATAAATGATCGGTTTACTACACGTATGTATATTATATAGTCACTTACTAGCGAAAAGTTGTTCCATTATTTCACTGAATTTTTGCCGAGATCTACCGCACGCTACACAACCAACTATTTTAGAATCTTTTTCGATAAATCGCGATAGTGTAACTGTTAATTTAAGTTCTGCCACAATTTCCATCTATATTTACTACCTTTATACAACTATCAGTAGTAGAATAAATAATAAATAACATAAAATAAGCTCCATAAAGACTGACAAATCCACAAAATTTCAAATCAAATTCAAATGTGTCAAATGAATCGTCAAACAGAACTGTCAAAGATCCCCACCCTAGAGAGCTTTTATGGTGCCTTTTCCGCAAAACCATGCATGAATACATGGATAGCATTATGCTCCTTCCTTAGTCTTCTTATTCAAAGATATGACTAAATAATAAGTAATGTTTTTGACATATTTATGACATATAAGTCATAAGTCATACAGTTTAGTCATATAGTTCTGTAATAAATTTTACCTTTATTTTTCTGCTAGAATAAATTAATATATAGGGTGTTCTACTACAAAAAACACATATTGATGTGTAACTTTTTTTGGGAATACCCTGTAAAACTCTATATTTTTAAAAGATGCTTTCAGTTAGCCTACATATGCTCCCAAAACTTCATTTTGATATAAACTACCGTTCTCCTTGGAACCTCCGCGTCGTATGAAAGGCGCCACCCTGTACCTACAGGATGAGTTTTCTACGATGCCCAAGTAGCATTTTCACGACTTGCAACCACATGTTTACGAAACACAACGTTGGATTAGTTACAAAAAATAGTTAGCTCCGTACCTTGGGTATTAAAATAAATGTAAACGTTGTTCGACCGTTGTGCCGACGTTGAACTAGTACTACAACAAAGTAAAAGCTTCCGCGACGTCGAATAAACGTTGTCTTGTAACCTTCTTTGCTTAGGTGGTCTTTAGGTGATTCGAACAACGTAGTTACAATGTTGGGCAATAAAGAGTTTTCCGACGTCACTTTCAGGACCTATTCCAATGTTATGCAAACGTCGTCTGTTTTACTAATTCCGACGTCGTTTAGATTTCCTTATTCTTACGTTGGTAGGACGTCGAGCCACTACCTTTTTGCAACTGTATTGAACCATAACCTTAAATTTTAAATTTTCACTTCATTGTTCTGTTCAGTCAGACAGTTCAGTGCTGTTTTTGTTTTTATAAAAAAAATAATTAATATGGGACTTAAAAAAGGCACATATAAAACTAAATTTAAATATATATCCACATATTGCCGATACTTTATCCACTACCTCGTTTATTTCGAATATAGAGGGCGGCACAAGCTAGACTCTAGGATGACTAAATTAGGCAATCTTCCGACTAGTATACTACCTGTTAAGGCTGAACTGCGACTTTATTAGTCCAGTATGCAGTTACTCGAACTACTCCATTTTAATCTCCAAAACAACAAAGTGAAAGCCGCCATGTTGTTGAATAAGAAAATGTTTCGTTCCTAAAATAGCAATTCCTGCTTTTTGGACAGATTAACTTGAAATATTTAACACGCCGAAACAATTTTTTTTCGACTGCGAATAAATTATTCTCATTTTACTAAAAAAAAATTTCAAGAAATGTTTTAAAACTTCTTTAATTGTAAGGCCCATTAGTTCATTTATCAATAAAATTGTTTGCGTTTAACTTTTTTGCCTTGGGTAACGAGTTACAGAGTTAAACTGTTTCAATAATTATGATCTTCAAACATCCTCCACACTTAAATACTTTTGTTTTGTTTTCCTTTACTGGCATATGTCTCTAACTAAATCATAAAAATAATATTTTTACTATAATTATCCCAATTTAGGATAAAACGCGACTTAGATGCCATATTATTATAGTTTTGTATTTCTGTGAATTAGGATTTTAAACAACGTTGCAGTTTGTACTAAATTAGGCTGCTAGCCAACGTAGGTATCCTGTATTTCAGGAACTAGGAGGGCTAGGAGAAATCTGTGTGTAGCATCTTTAGTTTCATATAAAAGTAGCAAAGTAGCACAGTGATGTGAAGGTCGCATTTTTGTATCTCTACTTCTCTACTTATTAACAAGAAACCCTGCATAACACACCCTGTACCTCATCCTACCGGTAATTTGATACCGTCTAGCGAAACCTAAAATCGTCGTCTTTGTTTCTGCGAAACCTCGAAAAAAAGAGAGAAATAATGTTTTGTCGAAAACAGGCGGCTTTCCCTCCAATTTAGCGACTGCCATTCCGCCTATCGCGGGACATCAGCCCAACGGTCCTGCCGGCCGATTTATATGAAATCGCAAAACGAAACTGACGCTTAAACTGGTACTAAAGACCAAAACAAACAGAAATTTGCATAAAGTTATCGGTCGTTAATTCGGCCGGCCGGCCAGCAACGATATATACAACGAACGGGTTTTTCGAATATATTTATGCACCTTTAAAAGCTCTCTCTAACTGGCTGGCAGAACGTTGCTGCTG